CCCCAAAACCCCAAAACCCCAAAACCCCAAAACCCCTCTTGGGTAAATAAGTTGGCTAATTATGGCTAATTTAAAGTTATTCTTCAGGACAATAACCATCAAAAAGCAAACTCTGGAAATTACTCAAATTCTCAATTCCTCTTACTTCTTGGTCTAGTAGAGGTGTCCTGACCACGTGGAAGTCATCATAGAGATCATCTATCTGGCTCAAATATTTGTTCTGCATTTTAGATCTAGCTTTACACTTTCCACAGGAGGAATCTTTTTCTGGAAACAGTACTTGATTTACAACAATATTTTGAATGTCTATCTTAAATTTTACAAGTTCAACGACAAGACGCTCTGTTTCGAAGAGGGAAAGGAACTCAGGGATGCATACAGCAACAAAAGTAGTCTTTTTAGGATCCTGGAACTGATCGTTAACTGTTTGGATGGACTTCTTGACATCTTCAACTTTATCAAAAATTGCAGAAATTCCTCCACCACTTGAATCTCCTCCCCCCATCATGCTTGTTAGTTGACCAAGAAGTGGTCCCACCTTTTCTTTAAGCTGTACGAGTTTGACTAAAGCCTTATCGAGAATATTCGGGAAATTCAAGAGTCTCAAGGTATGTCCAGTTGGAGCAGTATCAAAGATGACCAAATCAAATTTAAGACTGTCAACCATCTGAATGACTTGTCCAAAGCTAGTAGCTTCGTCGATTCCTGGGACTGAGCTTAGAATATCCCCAATCAAGTTTCCTTCTCCCTCTCCATCATCAACTCCGATACTCTTAAGGAATGCATTGTCTTCTGTTGATTTGGCAGGGTCAACTTCCTACGTATTAAAGGTTAGAAAACAGCTGGATATTTAAATTCCTAATTTGAGGAATATTTACCATTCAGTATAAGTTTTCAAACCCATTCACTTGTTCTGGAGTATTCGAGAATTTCTGGTCAAAGGCATCACTCAAGTTATGGGCTGGATCGGTAGAGATAATGAGGACCTAAAGATGTTCAAAAACACACTCAGGGGTTGAAAGGAGAAATAATAATCAGAAGCAACTTCTACTTACACTTTCTCTTTCTTTTGCCATCCTGACACCGATACTTGAGCTGGTTGTGGTCTTTCCAACTCCTCCTTTTCCGCCAACAAAGATCCATTTGTACTCTTTGTTCTCATAAAGATTTGCGAGTGTGGGTTCGTACTCCATTTCTTTAATTTAATTATCAATTATATTAATACTGTCCGGGGTTTTGGGGTTTTGGGGTTTTGGGGTTTTGGGGTTTTGGGG